CTTTGCATTCTCAAACAAAGATTTCATGTGTTGATTAATAAAGGAAATTATGTAAATTGAAATAGGACAATAAAAGAAACAATTTGGGAGAATCGACATACCTTGAGCAGAACAATTATGGATTTAACCTTTTCAAAACGAAGAGTCTCGTGCTGATAATGTGTTATAAAACTAATGGAAATGTAAGCAACTACAAGAGAAGATTGGAGGAGGAAAGACACAAGAAAAGTGAGGGGAATAGTTCTTCTTATTCATACTCCATTTGTGTTACAATAGTGTGCTCTATTTATAGGCACCCTTTGGTAACCATTACATCAATGCATATGAATTAGAGATAATAATATAGGAATGGGAGTTACATATAACTCCCAAGTGAGCATCTAATGTGGTAGGCCATTGGTCATCCAAATATAAATATTTACATAAGACAGTGATATATTTTGGGGAAAAAGAATATACATGAAGGTGTACTATATCATGGTGGTATGAAAACTATGTTGTTGAAGTATACTTGATTGGAAAATTTTAACAAAAAATATATAAATGGATGTTATGTAAATTATAGTTAACTCATTTTTCTGTACAAATTTGTTAAATACTATTTAAGTTGAAGAAGATACAATCCAATTGATAAATGTATGTTATTGAAAAATTATTTGAATTTCAACCATGAGATATGTCCAATTTCAAAACTTGATTATTAAGTTGGCGCAATTTTTATATCTTCATTCTCACAATAAAAAGAAAGAAATTATGTCCAAATATAAAAAATAAGATAAATTAGAATTGCATCAAACAAAAAAGTAAAGACACTATTTTAATAAGTTTGCATGGAAGTTAGAAAACAAAATGACTGATGTTATAAAAAAAATGAGAAAATGATTTGCATTATAGAAAAATAATTATAACATCTTTAATAAGTGAGTGACTGTTGAATTCGTTTCATTGATACGTAATATAGCTCGATTATCCTGTGACTTCCTTTCCAATGATGCTTTCACCAAAAACAAAATAACTTGGTTAAAATTTTTTGATGACCATCATCAAAATTCTTACACAAATGAAATTATCATGTATCATAGTGGCACATGACTAAACTATATATGTATATTTTCGCAATTTTAGTGATGATGATTAAGATATATTTGTTACTTTTAGCTTAGTGTGACATATAAATTTATGAAAAATTAAAATAATAAAAGGTGACATGAAAAAGTATGGAGTTTCTTGAATCCTACATGGCGAAAGGTTGCTCTCAAACATCCATACTATAAGGGGTAATTATCATAAATTGTCATAAAACTATTCATTTTGTACAAAACGGTCACAATTCTTTAATTTTGCACGTTTCAGTAACAAATGTTTGAACTAATAACAAAAAGATAATTCCGTCCATCTCCATCCAAAATCCGTTACTTTCGTCCAGTCAGCACGCCACATCATCTAAACTATTAATCAAAAATTAATAACCAAACCCAATTAAACTGATAACCCAACCGAAAACCCTAATTCTATACCCACCCAACCCAAATTCTAGAAGACAGAAAGATTGTCAGTTTCCTCTGCCCTGAGCGATTTAGCTCTGCCGAGATTCACAACTTGATTCGTCTTTGTCGAGATTGTACACGATCAATTGCTAAGCTTCCCCAACGGTCAAAGCAGTTGGTGGTGTCGTCCAAGAGGTTTCTGCTTGTATCCTATCATATTTCTCTCAACCAATATTTTTCCTATTCTTGTTCATTTTCTGGCGGTACCTTTCCACTCTCTCCCTCTCGTAAATCCCTTGCCAATGCACTTCCCCTATAAGTGCCCATAGCCATCTTTCCCTCAGCGTCCTCAACTGCCTCAGCAAGGTATATTCATCCATCCTCTTAAGCAATGTTAAGTTCATATACTTTGTCCACATAACTCCTCCCTTGCATTCTTCAATTGAGTGTTGCTCTTCGAAAATGCAGATTTCTGGATCTATGTAGACCATTTTTCTTGCGCTGTTGTAAGCCCAGACATTCACCAGAAGCTCCATTATTCGACAATAGCAGTGCTTTTCCTGTTGATTTCCTACTCCTCCCATCTCCGAGAATTTCAAACGTTTTCCCCACACAACGGTCGCTCCTTGGATGGGCTCCTCTATCCGGCTAGTTGAATCGCTAGTGACAGAGTGTTTCTGTCTCCAAGAATTTGGGTTGGGTGGATATAGAATTTGGGTTTTCAGTTGGTTTATCAGTTCAATTGGGGTTGGTCATTATTTTTTATTAATATTTTAGATGACGTGGCATGCTGACTGGACAAAAGTAACGGTTTTTTGGATGGAGATGGACGAAATTACATTTTTGCTATTAGTCCAAACATTTATTACTGAAACGTGCAAAATTAAATATTTGTAACCGTTTTGTACAAAGTGAATAGTTTTGTGACCATTTATGATAATTACCCATACTATAAGTTATAGATTAGCCTTTTCAAAACTCGTCGAGAGAGTATTTTGGGGGTTAGACCCATGCAAAAGATTTTTGTAAGTGGTGTGCTCTCTCTCCCCCCCCCCCCCCCCCCCCCCCCATTTCCCACTTTATTCTCGTACGATTTGGGAATGGAAGCTCCTACCAGTGTGTCATCTTGATTAGTCTCATATTCATGTTTGTCACTGTTGATCTTTGAGCTTGTTTCATTGATATTCAAATATCATATTGTGCATAATAATACAATTTAACATAATCTTTTCAAGTATTTGCAAATCCCAAACATGACAGAGGTTACTAATAATCTTCACAATGATCCATCTGTGCTGAGTATTACATAGACCCTTTCAATATCCTTGTGGTATGCCTCTTGGCACTTTGCAAACAACCTCGTTTCTTGTTATTGTGGTTACTAATAATCTTCACAAATGTAGCTCATTCAAGAAGGTAAATTCCGTCATCCAAGTAATAACATTGATCAAAGATGTTAGCGTATACCTCAAAACTGACTTTTGGAAGAATTCCATTGACTGCATGATCAGAAAGTGGGGATACTCCAAGATGTCATTGTTCGATCTAGGTGTTCTGAAGAAGACATACCAAATTTATATGTTGCATGACGATATACCTTCAAGGACAATGGTTGGTTTCTTCTTGTATATAATATACTAGTCTGACCATATAGTGAAAATAATTTCACACTCCCAATTCATGCACTTAATTGAACAGATCATACCAAGAGGCCATGTGGAGCACTATGATCAAGACAGCGGCGAAGATCTTCAACTTTTGGTTCCCGTAAGTACTGAGAACCATAATGTTGGTGATGACCGATACAAATTTTGTCAGGCACTCTAGTGTGATGCTCTCACCTATTTGAAAGGTCTCATCTAGGGAGTCAGTTGAGCATCCATAAGCAAGAATCCCTAGAGAATTTGTAAGTTTTTATTGTGGGGAGGATGAGTCACGACCCCTAAATATTTCAATAGCTTAATTACTATTTGTATTGAACAACACCAATCATGATTTGGTTGGATGAGGAAGGGGGCATCCGATATCGCCTTGTGAAGACTTTAACATCGTAGGTCATGTTTGGGTTGAAATAATCTTGCATCAAACTATTTTGACTGCCTTTCTTACTATGCCTCACTAGTTTGTGATGATGAGATGATGTTACTTGTGTTGGTGCACGAGGCCTTCGTACATAATGAACATCTCTGCACATTCATGTTGAAGTTGACACTAATACTCTCATTGCCTATCATCAGCTTCCCTTTGCCTCTCATAAGCTTCTCTACGAGTATCCCATGATGCATAACGAGTTGTTGGTGTGTAGAAAGATGCACGAATGTTAAACGATTTTTTTGCGGAGTGAAGTTGAATTGTGGATTATAGAATGACCAAGTTGAGGGTTCATTTATCGAATTACGAAAAGATTTCTTTTGCAATAGTATGATTAAAGTTGTATGAATCGTTAATGACACAACTCGTTATGGTTTAAGTTGGATGAACAATTGATGACACAATTCACTATGGCTAAATTTGGATGAACTTGATTACACAACTGATTATATCAAACAAGTGATGAATCTATGGCCATCTGAGCAAATTATTGTGTTTTCATCATGGATGATGTCATATTTAGTGACAGAAAAACTATGCCAAATTTAAAAATTACATTAAAATGGTTGTCTTAATTAGTAATTATTTTATTTTAAAAATAACGAGTAAATTATTCAAATTAAACAATAAAATTAACATTTTAAAAGAAAGATACACGACTCATTTGAGCTCTAATCCTAGCCCCATTATAGCAAAAAAAAAAAAAGGTGAATGAAAAGCTAAAATTTAGCTTTAAAATTTGACTCATTTGCTCTCCATTGGAGATGATCTTACAACAATACTAATAATAATAAACAACGAATGATAAAAAAATTCTAATAACACCGCGAAAAGACAATAGAATTAGTGTATTCATTTCATTTTTTGTATACTCCCAACAAACATTTGACAAGAATCATTTATGCTTCTCTTGGTCCCTTCTTTTTTTTCTAATTTCTTCATTTTTGTCATTTCAATTCCCTTCTCCATCGTATCTCTATCAAACATTAACATGGTCAATTAAATGGGTCATGGTTTGAAAAAGCTTAAAACCAGGTCGATTTGATTAATTCGTTCTGTACAAATTAGAAAAAAAATAATGGTATGAAATTTAAGTTCCAAAAATAAATTTTATTTTTGAAACAAAATTGTAAAAGCGTCATAACATCTAGTGTACACAAATTTAGTATTGAAAACGTGAAAGAACATTATCATCATCATGTTAAAAATAATTGATGTTAGAAATGGGGGAGTGAAATTTATTTTATTTTTTAAAATGACGAGAACATAGACTATAGCAAAACCGAAAAGCTGGACAAGGAACAATCCGTCCGCACGGGGTGAATTTTTATTTTTCCGTTTTAATTTTGTTCATTAGAAAATCCAATAATCATTTAATTTTCACTTTCCTTTTTATTTTCTTCACTAACTTTTCTTTTATGTCTTCCTCTTTTTTTTCCCCACCTTTATCTCTCGCCTCCAGTCACGCTCCCCACAAACTTATGAACTTGCTCTCTCTCTCCCCCTCCACTTCCCTTCTCTCCTCTCCTCTCCTCCGCAGAGCAAGAGCAACTTACAGCTCTTTTGCTCTCCTTTTTCTCTCCGGCGATCAAAGAGCTATTCTCTTCTTCCGACGTCCGATTCACGGCGCCGGAATGATTTAGAATGGCCGTCCGGAGGTCCAAGAGTGGGAGCGGTTTTGTCTCTTGTAAAGCCCAGCTAATTAGAAGATTCTCCAGCTTGCAAATATAATTCCACCCGCCCATTAATTATCTTCGAGGGAGTTTCGGAGAAGCGGCGGCGGCGGCGGAGCGAGTGGCAGTCCGGCGGCGCATCACTTGGTAGCTCGAAGTTCCCTGTTACTACCTGTTTTTTTTCATCTTTCTCCTAAATTGGGCAGCTTAGTGAATGGGTTACTGAAAATAATAAAAGGGGAAAATCTTCAGCTCTTGTTTCCTTCGGTTCTGGAAACTTTCAATGATTTTGAGAAGTTTCTGAGCCAAAACAGAGAGCATCCGTAGCAGGGCACAAAGGAAGAAGAAGAAAAAATACAGAAGACAAGGGTAGAACTAAACTAGCCATGAAGTTTATGAAGCTTGGTTCCAGGCCAGACACCTTCTATTCTTCTGAAGCGGTCAGGTAATTCAAAGAGAGATTTTTTTCTTCTTCTATTGCTTCTCATGAACTTCCTTTCATGGAGGATTCATCCTAGAGTTTCTTCTGTGATGCAGGTCTGTCTCTTCGGAAGTTTCCAGTGACCTAATCATCCAAGTTAAAGGATGTAGATACCTGCTTCACAAGGTACTACTGAACAATTCATGGGGGCTAGCAGAAGGGTACTAATTTTTCTTTGGCTGACGAATAGTTTTTTCCACAGTTTCCTCTGCTTTCCAAGTGCATAAGACTCCAGAAGCTATGTTCAGAGACGCCAGAAACCTCCTCCCAGCACCAAACCCTCCAGCTCCCAGATTTCCCAGGCGGGCTCGACGCATTTGAGCTCTGTGCAAAATTCTGCTATGGGATCACAATCACACTGAGTGCCCACAACATAGTGGCTGCTAGGTGTGCGGCTGAGTACCTCCAGATGACGGAAGAAGTGGAGAAAGGCAACTTAATCTACAAGCTTGAAGTCTTCCTCAACTCCTGCATTCTCCAAGGTTGGAAGGACTCAATTGTGACGCTCCAGACCACAAAGGCCTTCCCTTTATGGTCAGAGGAACTCGGAATCACAGCCAGATGCATCGAAGCAATCGCCTCCAAAGTTCTCTGCAACCCTTCTAAAGTCAGTCTGTCGCATAGCTATTCGAGAAGAGGAGGAAGGGATGATGTTTCATGTAATGGTGGTGGTGGTGGTGGAGACAGCCAGAGGCAGAGTTTGAAGCCAGTGAATAAAGGGTGGTGGGCTGAGGACATGGCTGAATTAGGGCTGGACTTGTATTGGAGGACCATGATTGCTGTGAAATCTGGTGGGAGAGTGAAGTCAAGCTTAGTAGGTGAGGCTTTGAAGATATATGCAGCTAGATGGTTGCCTAAGATACAAGTACCATCAGTACCAATTGGTCCTGGTAGTGATTCTGATTCTGATTCAGGAGACGAGGCGAATAATAGTAACTCAAAGCATAGGCTGATTTTGGAGTCCATCATCAACTTGTTACCCGCTGAGAAGGGCGCGGTGACTTGTAGCTTTTTGCTCAAGCTACTGAAGGCAGCCAACATTCTGAATGCAAGTTCAACATCCAAGGTGGACTTGGCCAGAAGGGTTGGGCTTCAATTGGAGGAAGCTAATGTGAATGATTTGTTGATACCTTCGGTTTCGTATTTGAGTGGTGGTTTAATATATGATGTGGAGTTGGTTATGATCATATTGGAGCAGTTCATGTTGCAAGGGCAAAGCCCTCCAATTAGCCCTCCAAGATCCAAGCTAGGGTTTGAGAGAAGGCAAAGGTCGAGGTCAGCTGAGAATATTGACTTGGATTTTCAAGAGAGCAGAAGGTCGTCCTCAGCTTCTCATAGCTCCAAGTTAAAAGTGGCTAAGCTTGTGGATAGTTACCTTCAAGTAATTGCCAGGGATGTGAATTTGCCACTTTCGAAGTTCTTGGTAATTGCTGAGACCATACCAGAGTTCTCCAGGCCTGACCATGACGATCTCTATAGAGCCATTGACATTTATCTCAAGGTAAAAACAACAAAGAAAAAACGAAACTCCCTTTCTCATTAGAGTTGATTGTCAGTTAGTTAACCAACTCTCTTTGACCTTTTATTAAAACAATGTATGGCCTATGGGCAGTTGGGGTTGGGGCTGTAGGGTCGATGATTTGAACTGTCTTGGTACAAAAAAATTGACAAATAAGGAAATTGGGTTTTTTAACTCACCCGTAGATGCGTCAAAGTATGGTATATGGTACTATCAAGGGAAAGTTCTGGTTCCAATTGACAAGTATCAACAGTAAACAAAACTTTGAGTTTCTTTCAAGTGTGGACTAACTGAAAAAAATGGCTTTGTCTGACATTGCAGGCACATCCAGACATGAACAAGACTGAAAGGAAAAGGTTATGTAGAACCCTAAACTGCAAGAAACTATCCGTGGAAGCCTGTATGCATGCAGCTCAAAATGAGTTGCTCCCTTTAAGAGTAGTGGTACAAGTTCTCTTCTTTGAGCAAGCTAGATCAGCAATGGCTGGTGGTGGCAAAGTCACTGAGCTCCCTAGCAACATTAAAGCACTCTTAGCCTCACATGGAATCAATCCATCAAGACCGGGGGCGCCATTAAGCACCACTGCCAGCGTTGCAGCAGAGGATCAATGGAGTAGTATCTCTGGGTTGAAATCTCCCAAATCAAAGCTCTCAACTTTGAGGATGAAATTGGCTGAAGATGATGATGATTTGGATGGAGTTGACTTGCAGTCAGAAGGTGGGCTTGGTAGTAGGTCTTCAAAGTTCAAAGCTTTCTGTGCCATCCCATCTAGACCTAAGAAGATGTTCAGCAAGTTTCTGTCTATTAACAGAAGTTCTAGTGAAAAGCATAGAGAGTGAAGAAGCAATAATAAGTATCGTAATTTTGGGAAGTTTAGCTCAAATCCACTTTTGTTCTTTGTTTCTTCAGGGTCCAATCAGGGGAAATTGGTTCCTACGTGTATGGTATAGCTGGTTAAAGAAGAACAGGAAGAAGAGAAGCCTATTGTGCATTGTTGATGTGATCTATGTCACATTATGGAAATCAATCAAAATCAGGAATTATCAATCTGGCAAAATGCGTGGTTCTCTTCACTTGGTTCCAATTTGCAGGCATTATTTGGGCCAAAACCCATCTGGATTTTGTACCTATTATCCAAAGCCGGCATCAGAATTCTGATCCTTGATGCTTCTCTCCAAGCCTGTTCTTCCATGTGAAATAATAATTGACTTGGGGGGAAATTCTGATTGAATCCAGATTTCCACTTGTCTGTCAGGTTCTTGTCTGTACAATACAATGCATGAACTTCCAAGTTCCCAAATTTTAACAACTAAAAAAGTTCCCGGATCAGCAATATTTTTCGACAGCAGTGATCTGAATTTAACCCTACCAATTGACAAAGATGATATTCTGAAGGTTTTTCCTTAGTTGATGCACTCCTTTTTTCTGCCTCCAATTATAGTTGGAAGAAATCATTACTTGTCTTTTTCACCAGTCTTCCCAACTATTTCCCCTGCAGAAAGATCAATCAATCGATTGCTGTTGCGTTGCTGGTGGTGGAGCTAGGCCAAGGCAGACCATTCCATCTTAACAACCTGTTCACAGAGCAGGGGGAGGAATGGAGAATAGTACACAAAGAAAGAGAAGTGTTATATGTTATGAATGATCAACTGAATTTTGTCCAACATAGGACAGTTATAGGCATTTTCCTGGTTTACATGATGAGGGAGGTTGGTTAATGGGCATAATTTGTTTGGCCCCTCCTCCTCCTCCTCCATCATCATCATCATTTTGAGTCATTATGATCATCATTACCATTATACATCTTTAGCTTTTTCCTGTTCCCAAGCAGCAGCATGCTATACCAAATGCATATTTGCCATCTCATCTTTCTGTCAACTCCACCATGATTTAATATTCCTTCCTTCTTACAAAAGCAACAAAAGCTTCCTGTTTAGCCATATTTAGCATCCATTACATGATTTTTTCTAAACATCAAAATTGCCCTCAAGGTTTGCAGGTTTTACGGAATTGAATCATGGCCTCCTCTGCTGGTTCTGTTCTTATTTCCCCATCAGAACAGAAAAGGGGACCTATCAAATAGTTTCTTTTGCTAGATGGGTTTTCAAAAATGGTCATTAAATTGGCAGCAGAAGTTGGAGAAGCAGTATATATGGAATTCCAGCCTTTTAGGGACCATGTCCTGAAAGTGGGGTCAAAGGGGTAGCTGGAGACATACACTGTCAATCAATTTTGGATCCAACTGTTATGAAATTCAAAGCAACTGCAGGTCAGGATAAGGGCTTGGAGATGGAGAGTGGATCTCTCTTATCTACTATGTTACAAAAGGATTGGACCATTCTCATTCTTCATGATTCATTCACTCAGAAGTCAGATTATATACATTCCCATCATGCGGGACAACCCAATCCCAATCCCAATCTAGTCACACAGGTCGTGACCAAAACTCTGGCAGCAGAATTCCTGAGAAATAAATCTGGATAAACAAAAGGGTAGAAGTAAATTCACATGATAAACAGAAACCCTTGAACAACAACAGAAACAGGTAAAGAGAAAGTTAAAGAAGTCTTCTTTATCAGGCTTTCTTTCTGTATGACCATTGATAATGTTCAACTGTGTTGGCTTGAGAAGAAGAATCCATGCTTTTGGTTCTTTGACGGGAAGTAGGGGAACGGTGAAGGGAAGTAGTGGAAAGAGCCAACATGTGATTGGCAGGCACAAACAAGCTTTTGTGTTGTTGCTTGAAGCTCTATGGTTGAAGAAACGGTATGATCAGCTGATGGTTGTTGATGAGTATGATCCATTGGGACATGCATCCACCTCCAGATCAAGAACCCTACTCTAGTTATCATCCGCTGCCATGGAAGCTGCAAAAATCACAAGCTCAAATTGATAGGTGATGATCAGTTTCGCTTGCTAGGAAGTTTGGAATATGACTAGATGATGGCAGTTGGTACCAATTTTTGCTTTCCCTTTCCCATTCATGGCAGACATTCTCGTGCTTGTCTGTCAATTAGCTTATCTGATGAGCCATTTGCTCTCTCTTGCTGCCTGACCCACTAGAGTAAGACTAGACTAGCATCCACTTTGCTTTTTGCTACGTAACCTTTTCCCCCCTCATCTCTTCTTTACTTGAAGGAAGAGGAAATGCGAAGAAGTCTGTCTAGCAAACGTGTAGGAGTTAAAGGGGCTTGGGCCGAGGAATGAGGGCTTGCAGTCGTGAACAAAGATTTTACAGCATCTAGCCCAACCCACTAGTGAAGCCCAAAATTGCAAGGCACCACCACAGTACGACTCGAGGGAACCCCTGTACTGTACATGACGAGTTGCCTGACAGGAACAGAGCAGAGCAGAGCAGAGCGAAAACTTCGTTCGTGAGATCGAACCCCAATGCTGCGATAGGAGACGCGCATAACACTCCAAAAATCGAACATTCTCGACCTGATGCTTGAAATCTTCCAGCTCCCTCCAAGTATGAGTCCAGAGTTAGTAGACCATCACTTGTGCAGGACGCTCGTCGGAGGAGCAATGCCCGAGGCTGAATCAGAAGGATCAGCAGCCCCCTTTACCTGTCCCAAACCCATAGCTATGTCGAGAGAATTTCCCTTTTCTGCTGGGGCTGATTGCACCGCCACTTTCCTAAATCGCCCAGCTATCCTGAGGATTACCCAGCAAGATTACCTGCATCGGGACTTCCAGATGCCTGATTTTCTTCACACAACCATTATTAGTTGGTCAGGTGCATGGAAGCCACTATGGGGCAATATAATTCTTTCCATTATTAGTGGTAATACCACTAGTCTAGAACCTGGAGGTCTCAGGTTCGAATCCCTTAAGTAGTACCTTAATCACAAAAAGAGAAACCTATATCACCCTTATAAAAAAAAAAAAAAGCTGGGTACGCTTTTTGCCCATTACTGTATCATTTTCTGTCTTCTAGCGCCTAGGGCTGTCACTCGGTCGGTTTCGGTTTAACCGAAAACCGAATTGTCGGTTATCGGTCAAACCGAGACCTCGACCAGAGCTGCCGCCAACCGACCGTGAATTGCACCTCGGTTAGCCGCAAACCGACTACCCGGTTTCCGGTTTCGACTCGGTTAGCCGGCCAACCGGAAACTACTTTTCTATTAAAAAAAAAATTAAAAGCAAGAAAAAATCGGCACCACTCACTCCTCCTAACCTAACCCCTCCATTTCTCGATTCTTCTTCCCCTCCGTTCTCTCTCTCTCCCTCCCAGACTCTCTCTGTCCCTACTCTCTCTCTCGATTCTCTTCTTCCTCCGGAAGGAAAATCGAAAAACCAAGCTGGAGAAGTTTGGGGAATCTAAGTCTGTGAATTGGAAGAATCGCTCGAGGAGTTTGGGAGATTCGTAGCGGCTAGGGATTTGATCCGCGGGTTGAGGGATTATTTGGTTGCAGCCTTCGGGGAACCACCGGTTGTTCACCCGGGGTCGGGAAATTGGGGTTTTTCCTCGATACGTTTCGGACAACGCGGTGAGGAAATTCCAGAAGGAGGTCCCGTCGCCGACGACATGATTGAAGGAGCACCCGATGAAAACTCCGTCGATTAGCTCGGTGACTTGGATGGTGACGAGGGACATGGTGTGGCCGTCGTGATTGATGGCGCGGTCGTGGTCGAAGAACGATTGGACGACGACGGGGACGTAGGTCGGTGACAGGACGTCCGAGATTGTCAGATCTGCGACGGCGTGGATCAATCGGGCGCCGGGGCTGTTCGCGCAGTCGATGGAGACGACGTAGGAGCCGTCGTCGTGTGGGGAATCGGAAGTGACGAGGCGGCCGGCGAGTGGGTAGAAGTGGGTGAGGGTGTGGGAGAGGGAGTGGTTGATCCGGCGGAGGAATTCGGCGATGTGGAAGCCGGCGAAGGGTTTGGGGAAGGGCTGTTCTGCCTTCTGTGACGGGAAGGCGAGAAGGGGGAAGTGGGGCGGCGTCTCGGCGGAGGTTTGGGAGGGTCGAGGGTGGAGGCTGGAGTTAGGGTTAGTGCTGGGCGTCGTCGTTTTTGGGTCATAGGGAACGGGGTCGGTTAGCCGGTTAACCGCCGGTTTCCGACCCCGGTTAGTCGGCTAACCGGCCCCATGAATTCCCCTTCCGACAACCGACCGCGACCATTGGGTTCGGTTTTTCGGCTAGCCGAAAACCGGCCGGTTCGGTTGAAACCGGCCGGTTATCCGCTAACCGGAAAACCGTCCGCCAGCCCTACTAGCGCCTATCAAAGCCTTCACGAGAAACCTTCTCCTCCCAATTGCTTTCTCTTCGGTTCTTCCACAAAAAAAACGCTGCGACCATGCCTCCACCCACCGGCCGCACGCACTGCTAGGCTTGCCCCGTATTGCAGCTGCCGTACCATCCTTCCATCAATTCCCTGTAACACGCCACTGCTGAGTAAGGGCTCTGCATGCAAGCGGTACAGCTCTTGCCCAATTCATAGCTTTCCCTGTCCTCTCCAATTACTTCGCCTCTCCTCTCCCAAATACCAGTACGATCTCCATCAAATCTGCATCTTCCTCACCTTCAGCGCCATGCCATCCTTTCCCGCTTTCTTTCCCTTTCCGGATTTTCGGGTCGCTATTGTTGCTCGCACACGGCACCGCTACCGAACCCTCTTCCAGACAATCAGCCGACCATGAATCGTACCTTTCTTGCTCTGGCGAGCTTGATTGTGGTCCTGCCAAACCTTGGACCCAGCTTTCTTGATTTCGTGGTGCTCGCCCAGCTCAGTTTTTTGCCTATTTCGTTTTCGCATTCCCCAGTTCTCTCCCACCTCCGTCAAGTTCTCGGCTCCCGCCTGTTCCGAGGCTGCGCTCAGTCCGGTGGATATCTTCGATCTAGACCGGCGAAGAGGTTAGAACAAGAAGGTCAATGATGGTGATACGATTGTTGAAGCAGCACCAAGTGAGTTGATTTCGGGTTCATGTTCCCAAAACCATTTATTCACTTCCATCGGCTCAATTCCTGATCCTTCTTCCGTTATTCTTCATTATACCTTTCCTTCCATCCCCTATCAAACAGATGATCCTAAAGACGGTGATGATTATGAATGCTTTCTTGAAATATTCTGGCTATTGGGAACCACCGGATCAATGAAGGATCCCTGGCTTCCGTCGTGCTTGCAATGAGACTTGGCATGGGATTTCTGTGACATGGTGCTCTGCCATTCTGTTACTTCTTCTTCCCTCTCCGTCCTTTCCTGGTTTATTTCCCTGACAACAACAGGACGAGCCTTTCATGAGCTGGAGTGCCACGAATAAGGTGTCCTCTTCTTCCTCAAATTGGGTCTCAACTACTCCACTCTGTTTCCTTGCGTTTTAGCTTTGTTTTGCTCATGGTATTTGTTACGAACACTGATTTATTCCTCTATTTCTTTCAGGTTTTGCAGCCAAGAACCAAGCTGATGAACAGCCTGTAGACCATGTTGGGAGGTATATTGTGACCATGATGAGCAATTGTGTAAGGATGCTGAAACAGTAGTTGAGTTCAGTTTCGATGAACCTGGCACGATGGATCATTTGGTGCTTCCTAGAAGAAGGTCGTTCTTTAAGTAGCTCACGAACAATCCAAAGAAGCAATAGAGCCATACGGATTGTTGCCATCACTTATTCAAGTACAATGTGATCTGTTCTACTCCTTTTCCAACAGTACGTTCAATTTCCATGTAAAGAAATGGTTAAATGTTGACTGTAGGATCCATTTCAACATTTACAAGAAAGTGCAGAGGGGAACTTAGAGCTGGTTCCATGTAGATATTCATGTGAATATCTACATCACAGGCTTCTTAGAACTGATGGTGAGGCTGCTTAGAAATGGCGGTGAGGCTGCAACCTACAAGTATGTGACTTTGCTGCTACTGTGTTTATGTTCTGCTTCCTATGTATAATTAACGTTCCAGCCATTGATCATGGGTACTTAAGATTTTGTAGTTCAACAAGGAGGCAAGACATGAGGAAACTAAAGTTTAGGGTTGTCTGTGTAGCTCCATTACGAATGTGTTGGTTCACGTATCACTTTCCAGTTCAGTCGCCTTAGTAGTAGAAAGTGGCAGTCAAACATGGTGGTGGTGGTGTTCAGCTTATTTAATCCATTCGTGTTTAGTTTCTTCTGGCACTGATGTTTGTCTTTATTTATGTGATTAAGAAAATGCATGCCTCGAAGATTGGAGGAAGGGATAATGAAGCATCTGGGAAAGTCTTCATTGGGTAAGCTCCTTAATGTTTATTTCAGATAGAACTATGTATAACCATTGGGAATTCAACAGCAGAGCTTTACCTTCTCTTTTTGTGCCAGTTGAGGGTAGATCACTCATCCCTGCAATGATTGGTATAAGTAGATCACTCATCCCCTGGCAGTAACCAATTTCACCATTTCTTTTTTATTAGGAGTTTCATGATTTCCTTTGGTTGGGACAGGGGGAGGCTCACAAGCAAGGACAAGATAAGCAGTTTACTTTCATTTCTGTTTCCTGTTTTTGAGAAAACAGATGTTGAAAACAGGTGAAAACAACAGGAAGTTGCCACTTTCTGTTTTCATAGTTGGAAACGAATAGAAAACAGAATGAAAAGTAAACAAGTTTTCTCATTTCAGTTGCCAAATTTATCACATGAAAACAGAAAACAGGAAACGAAAATGAAAGTGAACAGGGCCAAAGTGTTCTTGGTGTTCGTTTTTATCGTCGGTGGTATTGCCCACGACAGAGGGTATGAGAAGTGGTTAGGGACTATTTTGGGTATGGTTTGGAGGTTGTGCCGGATACAAAGGATCGACCAGCGCCTAAGCTTCGAATGTAGTAGTAATAGAAGGTTCAGCATACTATTTTTTAAAGCTCGAGGCCAAGTTACTTTATGCAAGCAGGGTCGTGGGATGCTTGGCTCCCCAGTATGCTTTGCTATGAGGATTATTATCGCAATGCTTTGCTAATGCATTTGCTTTGTATTTATGTGGATGCTCTGCTCCCAAGTATGGTTCAAGTGGAGAGCTCTCAGACAAATCTGATGTGTTCTCCTTTGGAGTAATGGCGCTACAGCCGATTATAGGATGACACCCTGTTGACACGACTCACACTTACATGGACAGCGGTCTGGTGGACTGAGCAAGTTTGTATGCTTACCATCGAGTTTCATATGCGGAACTGAGATTCCAGTTACTTCAGGAAAGATAATCAACTTCATTGTATTACATACTTTATTGTTGTACTGCTTCTGTATTTTTGTTGGCTGTGTGATTCTCTTTTCATGTTGCCGTGTTGAAATGCCTTAGCTTTATGTTTGTCATTGGAACCTATTCCCTTTATTTTTAATATTTTTTTGGGTAAATACAATTTAATATCCAAACCTTTCATTTTAAACAATATAATAGCCAAACCTTTTCGAAAACAATCTAATATCCAAATCGTCAACTTTCCGTCCGTTTGACCGTTGGTTGACACTTCAAAAAAGCTTTGTTTAGGGGAAATTGTCACAATACAACTTTATTTTCTTGTTTTGGCATTGCAGATGACTGAATATTTAGATATTCTATACCATCATGGTGGAGTCATGGACTTCTCGGGTTTGGAACCACGATATGTTGGTGGTTTTTCAGAGAAGATATCGATGAATATTGATGAAGCGTCGTATTTCGAACTTTTTTGAAGTGTTAACTAAAGGTCAAACGAACGGAAAGTTGACGATTTGGATATTAGATTGTTTTCGAAAAGGTTTGGCTATTATATTGTTTAAAATGAAAGGTTTGGATATTAAATTGTATTTACCCTATTTTTTTCTACCATGTTGTTTTTGTTGTGTATGAGCATGACTCATATTCGTCTATGACTTACGCATGTTGCAGCAAAATATGTGAATTGCTATTTGCTCAATGACCTAATCCCAACGCCATAGAAGTATGCATCTATCAGGTTACATGTTATTATAATTTCCTGTTTCTTTTAGTTCTTCAATCCGTTCTTCATGGCAGTTCTGAAGTTTCAGTTTATTTTCCTTTTACAGTTCTCAATATGCTCCTAATGACTTTGGTTTTGACCAGCCAACTCATTTTCTTCAGCCTGTTACCATATATTGTGTTCTGCTGGGTTCGGGCAAGAGCAATTCAATTCCTGTTTTACTTTTTAATCTCCCTATGTGTATAATTATCTTCTTTATACAATGTATCTCTTATATTTTGGCTATAATGTGAAAGTACTGTGAACATATATTTGCCCATCCAAGAATACCAACTAAGCTTTACCAATATATGAGAAACAAAACAACTAATGTTCAGTGCTTCTTTAGGATGTTCTCTTTCAATCATGCTTGGGTATTGTATTCTACTTATCCAAATTCTACATACACGAATAACCATTCTACTTTACCAAGATATGAAAAGAAGTTAATGTTTGGTGCTTCCTCCAAATGTATACCATTTTTCTTTTGTCTTTCAATCATGTTGATGCAAGTTTACTTCACGCGGCGTAGCCGCGGGTATTGATTCTAGTTAAATTAATGATGGTGTTCCAGCGCCTGCAGACGTACTGCAATTGGAATAGGGTTTTCACTGCTGGCAGCCGACAGAAGATCTCCATGACAATATCTTCCTGCAGCAACAAGAATCCATTCTTCTCATCGCCTTTTCACCAAAACTAACCCTAAACCATCATTACAATTCTAAAAGCCTTGAGAAACAAAACAACCCATATGATTATGCAACAGTTGAGATCGATTAGGCCAAAACTATTCGTATTGAGAAGAAATGAGAGAGCCGATTAGGATGCAGAATTTCCATGCTTACAAATGAATCGAAGGCAACGAGCAACCCTAAATGTGCGACAGTATATGAGATCGAATATAACCTTTTCTCCGTCGCTAGAGTAAACGATTCATCGACAACGCAGAGGGAAACACAGATTCGATCT